CTGATCCTGTGGACATCTCACTGAGCAACCATCAGACTAATCACCTCACGGCAGCAGTACGGTTGGTGCTTTATGAATTAACTCCTATAAATCCTGAGCTGTATTCTGTTTGTGATACAGAAACCAAACCAGAACAGTAGTATTCTCTGTAGTTGGTCTCCTTTCAGGCTACAGAACAACCTACACATGTGAGATTCTTCTTGCTTTCCACACATCATGGAACACAAGAGTAGTTTCTTGTTGACTGTCTAACTTGTTTCCACTTGTTTTACTTCTGGCCTCTGCTGGGTCCAAACCCATGTGTACTGACCAGGTTAAAGCTGCCACGTACTGCAGACATGTAGGCGTCGTGCATCACTTGCATGGTTTCTGAGAGCACAAGGCTTTCCAGTGAAGGTGGATCCACATGGAGACTCATGAACAGTCAGGTTCTGTTAACAGAAGCATTAGCTGCATGTCCAGCTTGGTCGCGGCCTAAAACGGACACTAGTGACCCGTGACAGTGGAACAGTGTGCAGAGCAGGAACTAAAACAGGAGCACTGAGACAGTCTGGTCGTCTGTTATGAGGTCTTCTAAAGTCTGACTTTTCATACTTTTCTATGAGTCAACAGTTCCGTGACATTGTGTTGGACTTCAGTGAGGACCAAACAAACTTCAGCGACGCCATCAGAGCCACACAGCTCAGCAGCAGCTCTCAGGTAAAAGGAGGTGTTGACACGACCTTATACAAGTATTTAATAGTGGTATCCTGTAATAAATGGTCTGCACTTATAGAGCACTTTCTACTTTAGCAGCATCGGGAGCAACTTCAGGTTCAGCGTCTTGCCCAAGGACACTTGGCCTGTGGAGGGGATCGAACCACCAACCTTACCATCAGAGAGAACTTTCAAAACTGAGCTTACAGCAAAAACTGGCTCCAGATGATCATTTGGCTTTTAGCAGCCGGACTGTCGCTGCAGGTCAGTGTAAAGTTCTGTCTTCTTCTTGCTGTGTTGCTCCCAGTAGAGCCCACTCTGTGGTAGAACGTCTTCTCAGATAAGACCTCATAGACTCTTCTGTGTTCGTAGCTCATGTATACGTACTCTGCTGGGCAGGTCGTTAGAAGGTAATCTTCAGCTAACTAGTTATTCTATTAACCTCTGAAAAGCTTCTAGAAGTTCAACCTGAGGTCTGTCACCTGCTTTGCAAGAAAATGGTGCAGTTTGGCCTCCTGTGATGTTTCATGTGTCTGCTAGCTGTGAGCAGTGTTTCACAGGTCAGTGAACGTTCATCAGAACTTTGTTCAGTTTCTTAATCTCTCCTCTCATGGATCAGCTGATGATCCTTCACATGCATCTGTGACAGCTTCTGGAGAGCCCAGCCCTCATGGTTGTCATTGTGTCTGTAGCAGCAGTGGAGCCTCAACACGTCGTCCACCACAGCAGCAACCTGAGAGACCAGTGCTTTGTTCACACCACGCCATGGAGGCAGCAGGTCTGTGCTCGCTGCCCCGTCATGGTCACATAGAGTTCTGTTAAAATCCACCAGCTCTGTTTTGTTGTTTTTATTCCATGTCCTTCACATCCTGCACACACCCATCAGACTCCAGATGCTGTCCTTACAGACCTGAGTTTAAACATCTCTTCATACTTGCTGAAGAAGCTGAAGGACTGAACACGACCAGCAAGATTCAACCCAGGATTTCACCACATTACACCTTCAACACTGGATATGTTAACAAGTGGAAACCACTTCAGAATGATTAAAACGATGAAGCATCACTCAGGCTAAAAGTGTTTGAACATTTCAGGCCTGTTTGCCAGAAGCAGCAGCAGCAAAGCAGCAGCAGCAGCAGCAGGACAGAAGAAAACTGGGTCATGTTCAGTTTAGTTGTAACTTTTTTCCTCAAGATATTCCAGGATTAGAGATGAAAACTCACTGACACGGATCTTCATGTGTTTTCCATCTCTACGTGTTCACAACTGTTCTGAACACAACCCTGGAAAAGACGCGGTCAGAAACAACAGAGGACGCATCGGAAGAAGAAAAAGCAGGAAGCAAAGCATGCTGGGATGACTCACACATGGCCGTACCAGACTGAGAATGTCTGCTGGAAGCCTCCGTCGTAGCCCGCCTCCCAGGACACGTTGGCCCAGGTGGAGGAGGCCGCCACGTGGACGCCGGTGGGGGCGTGGGGGCTTGTGCCTGTGGAGGGGAAACAGGAGGATGAGTCACCGAGTGGTTCTGATGGGCCACAGCGATCCACTTCACTGATCAAACCCATTCACTGCCAGCTGGTTTTCAAGTTTAGGTAATATGTATACATACAGGTAACATATAGGTGTGTATAGGTCACATGTTAAATGTTCCAGTTCCCTTGTTTGTCACTGGACTAAAGCCAAAGTCAAAGCAACAGGAAACCAGTCTGGAACCGGTTCCATGCAGTCATGTTCTGCTCTGATTTGACCGGCGTACATTCAGAGAAGAAGACCAACGTTCAGCAGGACAAAGACTGACAGGAGACCAGGACAAACCAAACCAACGCCTGCATGTAGACATCTGGCATGTCAGCTAACTCTGTCAGCTCAGGAGTGCTGGTCGCTGTCTGGTTTTCTACTGCGACCTGATCCAGAAATAGTTCCTCTGACAGATGCTCCTTTGGCCAATCAAGACCAAGAACACCTCCAAGCAGCACCAGCAGAACACTAACCCCGGAGTCACATCACTCCACCCAATGACATCACCTGAACCGCACGGCGGACTGCGTTCCACACCAGCACCACCATGTGTGTTCCTCACATGTCCGTTTAAGTCGTGTGAAGTAAATCATCCTCTTCAACACTTAGCAGAGCACACAACCTGAACAAAAGCTCCTTCTCTATTTTATCCTTTTGGAGAGCTACTCCAGCAGTCTGAGTGATGGACTGAGATGATTAAAACCACTCTGGTATCGGTGTGTTCACCATGAAGCTGGAGCAGGAGTAGAACAGCTCAGAACCTCTGAAGCTCACCATTCAAAGAAGCAGAAAACAGAGAAGCTGCAGCATCCAGAAGATCTCCACGCCAGCTGTTTGCAGAGCAGAACTTTGTAAGAACCACCAGGCTGGCGGTTACAACAACTGGAAAGTTGTGTCCGAGCCCGCTTAGTGTCCGAGCCTGCAGCAGAACCTACAGCGGCTGTACTGTACTGTCAGAACCCAGACGGCCCGCTCCATAGTGACTGTACGGTCTGTCAGGCTCCACCGGACAGGACCTGCTGCCCATGTCCATAAAAAGCATTCTGAGATGATGGAAACACAATGAGTGAGAGCTACAGGTGATGACACACCAATGAAAACACAATCATGAAGTTTCTTCTGAAGGATTCTCCAAATCCTCCTCACTGGTCCTCCAACAACCTCCACAGCATCTCTCTAACGTTAGTGTTAAAACAAACATTTCACTCTTTGTGTGGCTTTTCTTGCACTTTTCATTCCTGCAGATTTTTTACACAAAACATAACCGTCATTTGGAGCCAGAGGGGCTCCCCAGAGGTTCTGAGGTCTGCAGTTGGACCCTCAGAATTCTTGATGAGCAGCAGCCAAGAGCAGAAGTCAATGAGGCCAGAGGGACCTGCTCACAGAGCAAAGCAGCCCATAAAAGCCCTGCTTCTCCTTCTCTACAACAAATGACCTGTTCTATCACAGTGGCTGACTTTACTGCTGCTATGTTCTGCTTTCTAAGCTCAGCCACCGTTGACACACGTCTGCTGTTGATGCTGAGCAGGGCCGGCTGGATCCTGGGCGTAGTCTCTGCTAACACACAGGCTCTCAAAGGGTTTGACAAATTCAACGAAGCCCGTTGGATCATCAAAGCACCGGTGTGTCTCATTAAGATGTTCCCTCACAACAAACAATAAACCACACCGTCCATCATCCAGGAGGACGGCCTCTGATGACACGTTCAGGTCATAAGCGGTGTCCCACCTGAACTGACAGCGTCTGAAGACGAGCTTTCATAGCTTAGCTTCAAGAGGAGACGCAGAAAAAGGACTCAAGGTTAAGAAATGAGACAGTCGTCTCCCTCATATTCTGTTTCCTGACAAAAGAAACGAGTGTACAGTATGTCTGGGTTTCACAGACGACCTCCCAGACAGGAACGTCGTGATGCTTCCCCCCTACGCTGAAGGAGTCTGGGCCCTGCTAGGCTGAGGGGGGCATTTTTCTGGCTTTATTCGTTCCTTTAGAGAGAGAGGTCACTGCAAATCAACAGACAGTTGTTCTGAGGGATCACCTTCATCCTGTGAGGAAGCATCTGGACACTGATGGAGTGGTTCCTCTACAAAAGGATAATCATACAACACAACACAGGAGGAGCTGATAGAATACGATGCTTTGTTTTATATTAAATGATCCATCAGTCAGCAGAGAGAGCTGAAAAATCTAGTACGTACATGTTCCTGCTTTGCTTTTTGCTTCTTTTTTTTTTAACTGAAACATTTTAAATGCAGAATTTTAAAGTCACTGCTAAGAAGTATTCAGTGACATGTTTTGCAGGAATCAAGGTTTTTTTTTAATGATGCACATAAAGACTGTGGAGCACATTCAGTCCCTCCAGCCACCTGCAGCAGGGCTTCATGGGACATGTAGTAACTGTGGTTGGCTGAGAGTCAGTGAGCAGTTTGTCTGTGAGTGAACAGTTCAGAGAAGCAGCAGCACAGACGTCTCGTGGCCTCGGACTGACGGACGCTACGATAATGCCCAGCTGTTCACCGTGCAGCACAAGAACCAGGACTTGTGCAGACTCCTGGGACATGCTGCTTTAGCTTCAGTCTTTTAGCACAAAATCATGTTTCATGCATATTTAAGACTGAATTGCAGAATCTCATTTTAAAACAAGACAGCTTGAAACATGAGGAAGGCAGCCAGAGGGGGTGTTTTCACTCACTTAATTGGTTCGTTAGCTAGAGCTGAAAACATCCACCAGCCGACCAATCAGCAGTCACCAGCACCAACCTGATGTATGTAGCGTGTGTCGGTGTTCATGTGTGTGATTAATACCTATGACTTGGACGTGCGTGCTGGCAGTGATGCTCGTGGCAACGTTGGTGGCGACACACTCCCACTCCCCGTGGTCCTCCTTTGTGAGTGACTTCAGCTGTAAGCTGCCTCGGGGCAGAACATTGTGCTTGCTTTTACTGGGCTTCCCTACCTGCCGTCCAGCCGGGCCGTGGAGGGAAGGAGGCGGCCCATGAAAGAAAGGCAGAGAGGTGCACAGTATGTTGACACATGCAATATAAAATGCATTACTATTGCCTGCAGATTTTCAGTGAAAGAAAAAAAAGATATGAGCATTAAATCTCACATCTGCTCCAACAGAAAGCACACAGAGATGAATTATTGATTCCATAAAGCAGCAGTCAGTGAGCACGGCCTCATAATGAAGCAAACTACTGAGACAATCTAATGTCTTCTCTTGATTGCACATTTTATACACGTCAATAAAACGTGATTAAAAATGCTGAAACCACATCAAGCAGTTGAAGCAATTAAAACCTGAGCATCCACTTTTCTCAATGGAAAACACAAAGTGCTCACATGTGCAGAGCGTCCTACCTTCCTCCATGTGATGTTGGGAAAGGGGTCTCCCTCTGCCTCACAGGGAATGACCAGCTCTCTCCCAGCCTCCTGCCTGTACTCCCCTCCAGGAACCACTGAGAATTTGGGAGGGTCCTGCCCAGAGTGGAAGAGCCCCAACAGGTGAGTTAAACAGGTGAAGTTACTTCTCCTCCTGGATCCATACAACCCAGCTCATTAAATGTGCGTACCTTTAGCACCAGGGGAGCAGGAGGGGACCATCCCATGGTACCCAGGGCATTGTAAGGCATGCAGGTATAGGTGCCGAGAGAGTCCTCTGTCACCTCTGCCACACGGATGCTCCCATCGTCCATTTGGCTCCAACCAGGGTACTATGGATGGAGAACCGTCAGTCAGCACTGAGGATGATTTTATTATGCTAACGACATGCATCTGCAGCACCTTCACAGCTGTGAATAAATAACTAAAACGTCCTGAGTATGTTCTCATGAGCAAAAAGCAGAGAAGCTCACTGAAAGAAAAAGGAAAAAGGTGAAAAAGAGGAACGCTATGAAGCTTCAGCTGGAGAAAGGACGCGTTTGTTTCCAGTCTGAGGTGGAAACCAAAGCTGCAGCTCTGCAGCCGCTCACCTTGTCTATCCGTAGAGGGAGGCCATCTTTCTTCCACTTAACCAGAGTTACGGGGGGGTTGGCATCTACAGGACAGCGGATGAAGCCAGGCAGACCAATGGCCACGTAGATGACAGATGGCATGTTTACCACACGGGCAGGATCTGGTGAGAAACACAGAGCGAGAGGAACAACTGTTGGTGGTGTGGGGCATCCAGAGCCTGGTGGTTATCATCACTGTGTGCAGGAGCTTGGGAAATCACAGCGTTTATGGGAAACGGGCTCATCATGAAGTGATTAATGAATATGTGTGTTTGTGGAGCACAGCTGGTCTCAGAGCAGCGTTTGTGTGTGTTAGCAAAGAGTCTGCATATCAGCTTTATACCTGATCTGAACCCTAATGTGTGCTTTCCCTAAACTATCTGTATGTAGGCGTTGTTTTAACGTTGACTGAACGTCACTACAACCTGTTCTCAGGTCAAAAACATAAAAGATGGTTTCCTGCAACATGCTGTATAATCACTGAGTACGTTAGCACGCCCTCAGCTACAGCGCTCCTCATGTGTTCATGTTTAGCAGATCATTATCCATCTGAGCTTCTGCGTATATATATATATCTATATCTAACAATGACTAAATCAAAACAGATTATTAGTTTGTTTTTTTTTTTTTTTTAAAACAGTACAAACAAGTTAAAGCAGTTTTAGCTAAACTGGCTGCATAGTATGCAAATACTGCTTTGACTATTCACAGGAACATAGTTTGATGGTGTTATTTATCCATCTCATTCATGTTGAGTTACACTGAATGTGCCTTTAAATTGCTTCCAGGTGAATAGATAAAATAATACGGATTACATTTGTGTGGTCGCCACCAGTGGATGATGTTCATTCGTGTATGCATAACTTCAGTCCAGACCAGTTATCAGGACACTGGATGAGGACCAGCTATAACGGCTGATTCTACAGTTTGAAGTCTTCCTCTGAGCAGCGTGCCGGCAGGTCAACACTTTGACCGTCATAAAAGTATGATCAAGATCACAGTGTCCAGCTCAAACGTAAAATCAGACCACCTCCGTAACTAGTTCACAGTAATGTGTGTGTGCAGGGTTGGAGGTCAGAGGGATGCTTGGCCGTCTTCAGGGTGGAGCAGCAGCACCTCAAACCTCTTCAGGTGTTCCTGCTCCAATTAAAGACATTTTAGGAAACATGCTTCTGTTGACCTTGTCCTGAGTAAGAAGAGAAGAATAATGCTGCTGTCACCGTCTGTCTGTTGAATATGAAGCTAGCTAATGTCCACACTTTGGTTTCCTGCACATGAAACTAGTCCTGTAGTTTTGGACCGAGCCGGGCTCACTGTTCACCAGCTGCTGGATGTGGCCTCATATGGATCAGATAGAGTCTGAGGGTTCATCCATCTGCTGCGTGAGACAAAGCACCAATCCCTGAACATGAGTGTGAATCTGTCTGTGTGTTGATGTTTTAACCAAATTACAGACAACATACAGAAATCTCATCCAGTCACATCAGCTGACATCTGCTCAGGTCCATTTCTACATCTTCTCTACATTAGTGGCTCTTCTTTCACATTTTCCTTCTGTCTCAGATAATAGAGATGTGATACGGTTAAGCTTCACCCTCTGGCAAAGACAGACAGAACCAGAGTCCATCCAGCAAAAGAGACGAAGAGGAAGGAGGGAAGCAAAACTTCTTAAATCCACAGTTCTAAGGAGGAGTGGAAGCAGCGTGGCGCCTAAATGAGGTCAGGGAGGAGAGCTTCACAGCGGGACCGGCCGATAAGGATGGAGGAGGGGCGGCGCTATCAGCACGGCGGCGGGAAGGACGAGCGAGGCTGAGCGTGGGAAAGCAGGCAGGTGAGAGAGAGATGTGAGTGGATGACGTAAGGCGGAGAGGAGGACGAGGTGGTGGGCCTGTGAAGGAGGTGAGCGGGTGACTGCGTGACGCTCTGAGGTCCAATCAGACGCACTGCTGCCAGAACAACTTTGTACTACAGCAGCTGTCCTCTGCAGTCCAAAGCGCCGGCCCGCCAGCACTCTGCCGCGAGGAGCCCAGAGGAGCGCCGCCACCAGCACCACAGACGAGAACATCAGCCAAGTTTCTAAATATAGCCTCAGACAGCGCTAGCGCTCACGACACGCCGGCTCGCACTGCAAGGCGCTTCGGGGAAGTTATTCACCGGCGAGCACTTCAGGGAGGAAGACGGAGAGATTTCAGCAGAATGAGAGGGAGGAGAGAAACACATGGAGGAGTGTGATAGAGAAGGATGATAGAGGGATGATGGAGGGATGGAGAGAGGCAGAGGAACAATGAGAAGATGAAGACAGAGGCTGTGTCAGACTGCAGAGGGCTCTCTGGTCCTACAGCAATGATGTCATCCTCCCTTCTCTCACTCCTCCCTCCCTCTCACGGCTGGTGTTGCCTTCCTCACACACACACACACACACACACACACACACACACACCATAATCTAACGTACAGCCATCGACGGAGGCAGGAGAGCGAGGGAATTCAAAATGTCTGTTGCCTTGACTACTGGCCGGTTAGCGGTGGGCGAGGCGAACATCTCCGAGCTCGTCCTGCCTCGGCCCGTCTGCTCCCAACACGAGCCAGATGCGTTTTGAAAGTGACAAAATCACACAAGCTGGAGCTGGGAGTGACTGATGGACACATATAGTGCTGATGGGAGGAGAGAAATGAGGAGGCGGCGACCCACGGAGGAGACGAAGAGATGTGCTGGTGTTCACATGAATACATATACATACATGAGTACAAATGAGAAGCGAAGAGAGGGAACAGGAGGAAGCAAACATAAAACACATGGACAGAAGAAAAGTGTGTGTGAGAAGGCGAGCGGCTGTCTGGGTGGGATTAGGTGTTTAGCTGAGAGGTGAAGCAGAGTTAGCCTGGAGGCGGGTGAAGGGTCCAAATCGATTCCACGGTGCCGAGGACGGCAGCCTGTGTGTGTTCTCCAGCCAAACCAGACGATCCCTGGACAGCAGTGTCACATGTGGACGGACACAAACTGGGTCTCCTCTGAACAGATAGGATGAGGTTTATTAAACAAGACAGAGAAGTTTATCGTGTTTGGTTTCCCCTCCGATCAAAGCTAAAGCCGCAGAGGAACAATCCACCTGCAAGGCCTGGATTCTACAGGATGTTCTGGAAATGTGGGTTTCTGCTGGACCTGAGTTCATCCTGTTGGAAGTCTACCGACTTTATATTTAATAGCAACTTTGTAAATAAGCCAAAGGGACCAACCACAGGGAGGCAGGAGGAATCATGTATTAGCAACAACATTACAGAAGAAAAACCAAACCAGCCTCCTGACAGAACCTGACAGAACCTGACAGAACCTGACAGAACTCTGGACATCACAACCATCACATGATGCGTACACGAAGACTCAGAGAAGGAATTAACACTTTCTAACATTATTAACTAGCATCCATCCATCATCTCTACACCTTCATCCTCACTTGGGTCATGGGGGGCGGAGCCTATCCCAGCTGACTCAGGGTGAAGGCAGGTTCACCTGGACAGGTAACCAGTCTATCACAGGGCTACACTTAGAGACAGACAACCAAGCACACTCACATTCACACCTACGGACAATTTACAATCACCAATTAACCTCAGCATGTTTCTGGACTGTGGGAGGAAGCCGGAGAACCCGGAGAGAACCCACGCTGCACGGGGAGAACATGGAGACTCCACGCAGGAAGATCCCGGGTGTCCTCACCGGGACGCCAACCGGAGACCTTCTAGCTGCTAACGATGCTAACGATGCTAACCACTGAGCCACCTGCAGCCTTGTTAACGAGCATCCCAAATGAAAACACCAACAGAAGACATTTATTAAGGGTCAAACCAAAGCTGACTGATGTGTGACGGGTTCTCTCGCTAGATTTTAAAATGAGCATTTGTACCTTTGACCTGTTGAGTGAAAACAACCTTTATGGCTGATACTCCTACATCATAACCAAACACATCACCACCATCTGATCCACTCTGTTACCAATATAATCATATATATAACAGTTCAACTGCTGTACTGATCCATGTTATGGAAAGAAGAAACTCACCATTCTGACTTTAAGGCAGAAACCTAGAAGAACACGAGTATTTAAAACCTACAGCCCTCCTCCTCTAAACTCCTCCCACCGCCAGAGAATTCGCTTCAATGCACAAAGATAGCAAAGCTCAAACTTAACGTCCACGTACGGCTCCACCCAGGATTCACACCCTAACCTCCATCCAGCCCACTGTGCCGCCATATGCTGCCGTTCCCTACGGACTCTGATGCTATTTATACTATCCCACCTGCTCTGGGTGAAAAGTCCTGTGATTGGCTGAAATCCCCTGAGAGAAGGTATATTTTCGAAAGCCTGAAACGGATCCAGGAGGAGGTGCAGCCGTCTGGTTTCTTCTCAGGCCACTTGAATCACCTACAACATGCTGACTGCCCACTCCGGCTCCCATGTCCGAAGCCTTTCATGAACATTCCACCCGACCAAACATCCCTGAACTCAACAGCTCCACAGCTGGAGACCAGAATGAACAACCTTGAAGTCTACGGATCAGAGACCCCTGGAGAGTTTTGAAGTAAAGTAAGTCTCTTGTCCCCATCACAGGTTAGTGACGTCTGAAAAGACACAGACATTTTTATTTCCACTTAGTCCAAACAGTTTAAAAGAGAGTCCATACCAGCATCACAACAACGAGCCAGCGACACCGATGTCACTGAAGCTGTTCTAAATATCCTCAGCAGCTAGTTTACCGAATGAGATGCAACAGAAAGTGACACAACGCTGCTGCATCTATTGTAATCAGGGCTGTGTGATGCAGCCTCTTCATTAAACGTCTGCAGCCGGTTCTGTTCTAATGGACGCCCCAGGACAAGCAAAGGGTTGAGACGTAAAGGTCTACCGGCCTCAAAGTTGAAAGTTTTCTTCAAGTGCAGTTTCCATCACCGTCACATACTCATGAAGCTGTTCTGATGCCGACCACAACTGGACAGAAAGACCAGGAGCTTCCCCGTCCTACAGAGGAGACGCTGAGCAGTCAGCAGCCTCAGAAGCCAACAGGCTGCAGCCCATGTCCATGCTTCCTAAAGCAGCAGGCACCTCTCAGCATCAGCTGTTGGGAGGAGACTGAGTGGATCAGACCTTCATGGTGGAGCTACTCAGGAAAACCAGAGAGAGCTGCACAAAGAGTGGACTTGATCTCTGGTCTGACCAGCTGTTTCCTTCAGAAATGATGACGTGTGGTTTGTACGATGAGCATGGAGGAGGGGCTTATGTGTTAGAACAGGTCCAGACTCTTATCAGAACCTCATGATCCTGGATGAGACAATGAAGAGTGAGTGAAGCTCTAATCACCACAGACGCTGCATTGCTTTGTGATGTCTGCAGTTTGTTTCTACACGGCAGGAAATAGTAAAACACAGGAAACAAAACTCGACTGACTTCTCATTACAGATTAAATCCTTTTGCAGCCTCTAAAAACTCATCAAACACAAAGAGACTCTTTCAGAACCGTCTCACAGTCGGTGGTTTGCTTGGTGATTGTCATTTGACATGTCCCCACCGTCCTGAAGACGTATCAGGGGTTCCTATCTAAGAACATGATTGTTTCTGACCTGGTTCTCATTAGTTATTGTTATCAGGACATATATGGGACGAGAACTTCAAGCGTGATAAGTTTGGTATAAATGCTAATAGAAGCTAAGTGTCTCCTTTAAACATAGAGCACAGGTAAATGTGAGGAGCTCTGACGATGGAGCACAACAGGCCTTAAAGCACAAAGTGAAAGTAGGTCAGCTGTTTGCACTGTTACAGGTATTCATTTGCAGCTGCTTTATTTTACTGTATATTTATTGTTTACATTATATTTGTTGTGGTTTGTTGCACCAACCCACCAGAACAAACCCCTGGTACTGTATTGTGAAGTCCAGATACTCACATTGCACTGATAGGTAGGCAGAGGCAGTTGGTGGTCGGCCCAGGCTGTTGCTGGGTGCACAGGTGTATTTCCCAGCATCCTCTGGCTTGACTTGGGCGATGATGAGGGAACCGTCGATGAGAATACTGACTCTGCGCTTCAGGTCACTGTGGAGATGGAGGGAAGAGAAACGTTTGGATCAGTCAGGTGAACCAGGCAGGAACCCGGTGGAACACTCTGGAGCTCCGGCTGTCTGACAGACCAAAGCTTTGGCTGTGCTGCTGCTGAATATTGTCTCTGAGAAGTTATTTCAACACATTCTTTTGTCCATCATCTCCGGGAGAATATTGATGGACAGCTGCACATGTACAGCACCAGTCATATATGATGCAAGACCTGTGTGAAGATGATGACAATATATTTAGCCGGTGCATGTTTTCTTGCTCTTTCTGCTCATTTCCCAGTGGCTGTGTAGCTCTGACTTTGATATAAATGATGTTCGGCTGCCAGCCTGATTCATGATTCACAGCAGAACGACTGGCTGCAGAGGAACTGTAAGTCTACAGGCTTCAAAGGTAGCTCCAAATCACACGACTGTGTATTCCCCCTTCTTATTAGTTACCCCCCTAAAGCACAGAAATAATTTGAGTATACCAGTGTGGGGCTGATGGATTTATTGATAGCCATCCCCAAGATTTCTGATATATAAAAACTCCATAAAGCATTCGGTTTGTAGCCTGTGTGCTGGAACAGAACCGGGGATCACAGAGATGTGGCTGCTCGCTTGACTTAGCGTCACACGCAGTGGCTTCAGATTTCTCAGCTGCACATCCATCCTACAAAAATCCTGCCACGCATAAGCCTGAGTCAGTCACATCTGTAAGTAGTGGGATGCTGTCAGGTGGACTTAAATGCATTTTTGAGGAACTGATTCAAATTAAAGATGTAAGTAATAAATGATCTATAGTATGTAGAGTCCCCATTTTCACCTGTGGACACATGTGTAGGTTGTATGTGATGACGACAGGGTTTGGAAAGCATGTTGTTGAAAAAACAAAGAACTTTTTTCTTTTTCATTTTTTATGATTTTTGTCGTTCTGAGTGTGTCATAATGCAGAAAGACATCCTGAGGAGTCTCTCTTTCTGGCCATGGTTGTGCTGCTTCACCTAAAGCTGCAGGACTTCAAACTGCAGTGAAACACGACCCCAAACTGAAGACGTGTGCGACAGAAGAACCTGCTGAGGTTTCAGAGGGTTAACCTGTTCAACAGGTATATCTGAGTAACTTCACTCAGATTACCCACAGTGCAGCAGAGATCCATGTCCATGCTCCTGGTTTGGCATGAAGCTGAGAAAACCCTGATGATAACATAATTTACTCTGACGGCATCAAGGCTGTGTTTTTGGAGGATCTCTCTCTGGCTCTGAAAGTCAAACCTTTACAATCTTGGAGAACCTGAGGTCTGGAGGGAGCTTCAGCTGAAGAACAGCCTCTAAACGTCCAAAACTCTGATATGCTGAGTACAATGTTGGCTTAAGTGCAGGTGTGACTGTTATTCATTTATGTTAAACAAGACACATCGCTTTGCTTTGTGTTTAGAGGTTCTCTGTGGTAAAGCAGCTCTATGGTCAGAGTGATGAAATGATGACAGCACTAAACAAGAGGCCTCACTGCTGTTTGCTGCTCTGTCTCCTGGTTGTGCTGCACATCATCTGTTCCTCCCCAGAGGAGAATCCAAACTAATTCAGACGACTCTTCTTTGTCCAGTCGATTTCTCCCCAAAATAAATGAGCTCAGTTTGACATCAATATGAGGTTCTGACCATGTTCTCATGCTTGTTTAATTCAGCCCTCCTCTAATCACAGCCTGATCCCAGTTTAGGATCTTAAAATGCTCCTTTCTTCAGTTCCTGCACTGATCTCCTGAAATAATCAGCGACTAAGGTATTTGTAAGATCCAAAAGAAAACGTGATTGGTTTAAAGATCAACCTGCACAAAAGACCTCGTCTCTCCTCAGATCTACACACAAACTCTGGTTTCAACTGATTTGTCATAAATCAAAACATCTAGTTTCTTATAAATAAATAAAAACATCTCCATCTGTACGTCTGCTCCTCATATGTCTCAAAAACCAGCAGTGATCTACATCTGACCCGGTCTGTGGACTGATATGGACCCACCAAGTGCAGCACTGAGTCTGCTGTGGGTTGGACCAGCTGCGGCCTTTTAATGTTGTTGTTTGTTGTTGTTTTGTTTGTTTCTCAGACTGACCCACCGGCTGTGACGTCTGCCTCTGCTGATGCTACCTGCTGCCTGTGGTGTCATCTATGGTGGTGATGTTCTCACCGTTACATCAAATAATCACTGTTCAGTGCATACTTTTTACTGTGCACATCTGTTTGGATGGAAGTTTAATTCCTGTTTCTTTTATAAGTCTGCAGACAGTTTAGGAGGACCAGGTGGGACCTCAGTCGCCTCCAAGTAAGATGTATTGATGGTTGATGAGGAAAAGAAAAGACCAGCGTTCCTCTGGCTCTCCTCCAGGCTCTCCTCCAGGCTCTCCTCCAGGCTCTCCTCCAGGCCCACTGGATGCTCTCAGCTGGAGAGAGGTCCTGCTACCTGGTGACCAGCCTCTTTCAGTCGTCAAGGCAACAGATGTCACTGACATAGGATGATGTGTTTCTGCTAACTGAACACAGAACACACGGCCGTGGAAGCAGAACCACATGAACACGGATCATCTGTCATGGCTTCTGCTTTACAGGCAAACATGGAGACTGTAAAATGAAAACTCAAGCTCTGAGTTCTGGTTCTGGTTCTGAGTGATGGAAAACTGACAGCCGGGTCCGGCCAACAGGACAACTACGAAATATGAGGAATCTGTACGTTTGTCTGTGAAGACTCTCAGTCCTCCAGGTCCTGGTTCTTCTCCTGGATTAATGGTAGCAGCTGGACCTGCTTGAGTTCCTTGAAGACGTTCCACCTCTGATCCAAGAGGCTTCATCAGCTCTGACTGACTAGTCAGGAGGTCCACATACTGACATCATTAGGGTCTTGGTGGCTCGGTGTGGATCTGGGTTCATCTTCCTGGGGAGAGATCTGAGGACTGAGCTGTAAACAGGTGATGCCTCAGACCTCCACCTCTGCTGAGGGATGGTCTTTCCAGGTGGACACAGATGGCTTCTTTCAGCCCTCTCTCAACCCATCGATGGTGGAGGTCTGAGGCATCCTGTTTACAGCTCAGTCCTCTTCAAACGAGAGAGGCAGTATTTCAGGGATTCCTCTTCACTTTGGGACCAGACTGCTTGGATCAAACTTTACCTTCATGTACATGTGACAGATGTTTCTAAGGGCAAACTTCTAGATGTTCTGCTGTAAAGGCCGCTTACATTTTTATTTCTGGTCATAATTTAATAATAGTTTTGTTGGCATGAAATGACAACACCAGTAAACAGGAAAAGCTCCCGTCTGTCTTTCTATCCTGCACATATGCATGAGCGCTGCTTCCTCCCTGTCGACTCCGTCTTCTTCAGACAGTGCACTGGAGCAGACCTTGATGCAACGTGATGCATTGTGAATGTGCATCATAAAGCCAACTTAACTTCAAGCTCTGCTGCCTGTGGGCCACTCTCTGCTTAAGTAGAATGGACAAGTGCATTGTCTCTGTCCGAACAGCTTCCAAGCATCGGCAGTGGAAATGTCAGCGCTTACGGTGATGCGGGGAGACTGACATTTCTGGAGATCCATCAAACAAGAGGAGCGGCATTTCCATTCTTAAGTTGATTTATTCAACATCTAAAACCATCTAAAACCATGAACCTTCAGCCACGGAGACGTCTGTTTGTCTAAAAACTCATCAGAGTGAATCATGTCGGCTTCATCTTCTCTCTACACGTTTCTAGAAAGACTTGCAGGAGGACACTC